AATGCTCGGGGTAGTAGTGAAACTGCTTCTATACTTTGCTGAATAAGGATGGGTGTCGGTGCTTACTTTCACATCCACTCCCTTCTCGAGCCTGCTCTCTGGTTCTGATTTCAGAAGCCAGTGACAATAGGTTATCTTGCTTTCCTCTCCACCGGAGTCAGATTCTTTTGTCTTCTTCCAGTTCTTCCATCCTGACTTGGAACTCCCAGCTGGAGGTTTTGTGGACTTCTCCTCTTCCTCCTTATCTGGAGTCTCCTCCTCAGTTTTGGCAATTTTAGCATCAGGCTCCTTTTTATCTTAAAAGAAACAACAAAAAAAGACCATTCAGATAAAACACATTTTGTTTCTGATAAGGCCTGGTGCTGAAACATTTTTAGTCATCCTAGCTAGTTTCACGTACTGGTATTTGACTGCAGCAGAAGTTTGGTGCACCCCAGATGCTATGTGTAAGGTAGTAGTATTACGCACCAGTATTTCTGAGTATTTCTAGTTTGCATCTGAAATAAGGATTTTTTTTTTTCTGTGTGGTGTGCACAAACATAGTTTAATAGTCATAGTTAATCATAAAAAAATAAAAACCAGGGTAGACCATGTTGCTCACATGAAGTGTAGTTGAATTGGTTTTTAATTAATCGCTGAGGAATCAACTGCAGGCAACAAAGTTGATTTAGGTGAGTCTGGTGAATAACAGGAGAATTCAGCAGCAAAGCAAGCTATTTCAATTACTGCAGTAGCTGGAAACCTTAGATTAAGCCTCCACCCTGCTACCTGTTCGAGGGGGTCTATGTCCCTGTTTGTCCAGGACCCAGACAGCAAAAAAGAATTAATAAGAAGCGATTAAAGGGTAAGAAGGTGGTTATTTGCTGGAGTTTATTAAGCAGATGAGTGGGACAGATGAGCCAACTGTATAATTTTTTCATCTTACACCTGAAACACCACATAATGTTGCCTCAAGTGCAAGGTTTTTGGTTTTTATTTTTTTTTTGCAGATGGTACCACATCACCTTCCTGCCACTACACTGGGTGTGCTTTGACCAACCATCTCTAACGCGTAGGACCTGTAAGCTCTTCATAAATGGGCACGAGTTACGTTTCTTAACCACCTTGTGCTGAGAATACATCACTGTCCCTATCATACATCTAGCTGACTTGTCTCAGTCACACATGGATGCCCAGCCCATTTTTACAGAGGAAATGCTGTCTATAAGACACGCGGCTTTGAAAGACAGACGGTTAAGATGACTGACTGTAGTTTCACTGTGGCTTGGAACCTCAAGTGAGAGATGGTAAATTAGTTAGGATGTCAGCACATACCTGCTACTGCTCCTTTGTCTCTCTTTCTGCTCGGCCAAGGCATCTCTGGTCTCTTTGAATTATCTTCTCTTCACTGAGAAGCACCTGCTGAATGAGAGAAGAAGGAAGAATTACTGCTTATTCGGGCAAGCTGAAAAAAGTGGAGATATCTGAGACAGAACAGTGAAAGCTGTACGGTAAGTGGAGAGTAAGTAAGTTTCCTTCCTTGAGCTCGGCCATTTCCTCTATCAGTGCAAATGCTGGCGGTGGTTGAGGACCACACCCTTGGCGTGCTGGAGGCAGGCAGGCCCTCCACAGCAGTGCTCTGATGGACATGGGCAGCAGGGCTGCTTTTCTCCACGGTGGCGCAGCTGTTGGGAGAAAAGTCCCGAAGGTGCTCGGCCTAAGCGTGGCCCTTCTCTGCCGTGCAAAAGGAGCTTTTGGAAATGGGAGAACAGCTTGCCTCCAGAGCTCGGTCCAGCCTCGCGCCAGGGGTGTCTGGCTCAGCTTGTTGCTGACAGATTATGCATGCAGAGTCCCTTTGGGAAGGGGAGCGAGCTGGCTGGTCCAGCCCCTGCCCCTTCTGCCAGCAGCCCGTTAGAAGTTATTTGGCTCCGAGCTGGCCTCCTTCTGCCAGAGCGGGTGGCATCAACTTTTCCACCTTCTGCGCCAAGCTTCTCCCCTCCTTCCCTTCCACCCTCCCCAGGCTCCCCCTCACCGGCTCTGGCCGCAGCAGCCCCCTCGCCTCGGACTGGGGAGAAAGATGCTGTCGCCTCGGCGCAGGAGGAGGAAACACGCCGCCTCGAACCCGACTGGAGTCGGAAGTGGGTGACCGTTATGCAAAAAAAAAAAGGAGAAAAAAAAAAGAGAGAGAGAAAAAAAAATACACAGGCAGGGCCTGTCGCCTTGCCTCCTTCCCCGCAGCCACCGCGCGAACGGGAGGCGCCGAGGGCCGGACTACCGCTCCCAGCCTGCCCCGCCGAGAGGCTGGC